GTACACACGCTCTGGTCGCTGACCTCTCTTAAACAATCCGCTAACTAGTCTACATTGATACATACTTATACATAACTAAGTACTAATCTCTAAAAAATTCGAAAATTACCAAACTGAGACGAAGTAAAATTGTTCTCTTTGGTCAGCGGATCGGCATTCATCGCATCGCTCCTTTGGACCCAGGTGCAGTGGGCCATTGTTAAGACGCTGCACCACCGCCCCCTTGCTACACAGTCGGTCAAGTCGCTGTGCTCACACTAACCCAATGGCCTATTTATGTCACCGTGTCTCTCGTAAACAGGTTCCCAGCCGCCGGCCATAAATGGGAAGATTATGCCCGCCTCGTTCTCGATCCATCCTACTCATCTTCATTTGTAAACAGAGGTGAGGAACTTGCACTTTGTCCCTTTGGAACACTTTATCTTTGGAGATAAAATAAACATGACTGGCAAACAAATGCACGATACTGTTTTGCGAACCCTCGAAGTCGCGGCTAGGCGACGCCATCGAGCTACTCTAGCTCGGAAAGAAAGGCAGAAACATACAATAAGTGCCCTTGGCTACCACCGCATGCAGAGACAGCTGAATGAGGAAACATTTCTGGCCCCAATAGATGCAGACACTACTACGGCCAACATTTACTATATCAGAAAGAAATTTATGAGGTGCAGTCCACAGCAAACCGCAATTCAATAAGAGGAGTTGTCTAACCGGTAGCTAGATTTTGCCGGGAAAAGAAACATGGCAATTGGCGCAAAGCTATCAAGGGGCAATACTGCAACAAGGGTCTCATAATGACATTTCTATTTTTCATTTGCGAGACCTACATTCAGCCCAGACGCAAGCGGGCGAAGTTGAAGACCGTGAACCAATATTGGCGTGACTTCAAGAGGCTGTACCGACGGTCGAACCAGGGCAGGGTCGTTAATGCGAATGACTGCGAAGAAATTCGAAAAGTGGTCCCTGTGTTGGCTGATGCAAGTGTGCATTGCATACTAACAATCGACAGCATATCCACGGCCGATTGAAAAGCCAATTCAATTTAGATGACCAGCCCGGATTCAAGCCTGTTATGGGAGTCGATGATCTCCTGCTGGGGCTGACACAAACACTGGTGCCGTGACAGGAGCGTCTTCCCCACCGAAGACGACCGTCTTGACCTTGCCACCATAATGCTCTTCCAATCGTATACTGCTTGTAGGCCAGCCGAGCTTGTGGATGGCACCAAGTATAGGGGAGGACAAGATCTGTTGTTTGAAGATTTGGTTCATGAGGCAGCTACTGGGATGGCTGTGAAGCGCAGTCTTCCAATATCGCAAGGCATCACGCAGTCCGTCGAGGAACATAACGCAGCCTCGGGTGCTGGGCACAAAGCAGGAGGAGTCAGAGCAAGAACTCGATTCAGATTCTGACGACTCTGTGTTGGACACCGATG